CCCACAGACCGAGCCCGTTCCTAGGCCGGGTTTATTTAAAAACAGATAACTGCTGTCCCGTGGAACAGCGCAACTACCGGTGAGGGCGGTGGAGGCCAGACTACGTTTAATACAATACCTTAAATAGAATACAAATATAAAATGGAAGAATAAAATATTTACAGAAACCATGGCGTACACCAAATCCCGTCTCCGCGGACGGAGCCTGGGCCAGCGATGGCTGACCACAGAGCAGGAGGAGGGATGCGGCGAGGGGGAAGCCTTCCTCTCTCCCAAAGCCGCTTGGAGCGGCCGACGCCGGCAGAAGTCTCGCGGTGAGAAAGTCCTTCAGAAGGACGAAGGGACGGACCCTTCTGGAGCCCGAACAGCAGTTTTCTAATTTTGGTTTCAAACCTTTCCTCTAGGAACTAAGACATACATCACAGTGGATTATCAAAGCACACAAGTGTTTTCTTCCAAAGAGAAAGTATTTACAATCAACTCAAACAACCAATTTTTTTTTTCCTCTGCCAGCAGCAAATGCCTGAGGGCCCCTACAGCTTCACAAACGATAGGAGGAAGAGACTAAAGTTCTTCAAAAATTTAAGAAAATAATTCAAAATATATCTGCTAGGGAAAAACGATCACTGGTGGCAGGGTACACAATACACCCCAGTCTCAGGTCTTTTCCGCAGGGTCACAAATTCAGACCGCATGCGAGGCAGACCGGTAACCTCCAGTCCTGCTACATGGAGCAAAGTCCTCAGCAGCGGGACAGGAGATCAAGGGAGGATCCCCAGGGCACGGGGCGGGCTTGCAGCAGTACCGGGTTCCAAAAGTGCCAGCCTGGGTCAGTGTGAGATCAGACAACACCGACAGTGTTCGAACACGAGTCCGAGAGGCCGCCGCTGCCCGGCAGAAAACGAGCCGGCAGCTCGGGGAAGCGATTCTTGGAACCGAGAGGCACTTAAACCAATTCTCAGTTTGCCAATTTACTGCAGACTACAAGAGGAATCCTGACTGCCCGCCCCAGAATCCTATTCACCTCAGCAAAAAGCACCGAACCCCCCAAGCTTTGGTACAGTACAACGCAAGGGGAGGGGGGTATGTATCCTAGCTGTACTGTAGAGCTGCTGCTTTCCACACTGATATTTTATCATCCCTGATAATTCAAAAGTAAGGCTGGATGGACTGACCCCAACCACCACCCTTGGCAGCACGTTTGGTCCAAAATGCAAGAGTAAATATTCTGCTCCCTCCCGCCCCGACACTTTCATTAAGCTACTCTAAAAGATTAAAGTCAAAATGAGAGCGCACATACATAAAACTCAACAGTTGACATAGTAACTCCAGGCTTTAGATATCAACTGTCCAAGAAATCAGAATACCAAAGCTATGAAACATGCCGAACGTTGAGTTTTGCCAAGGCAGGGGGGAAGGATGAAGCTTTAAGTTTAAGCCTTCAGAGCATCACTGAATCCGTGCATCAGTTCACAACCCCCACAGTCTGTAGATGAGCATGCCTCTGTCCTGGAACAAACAAGTGCTTTGTCCTCTTAACGTCGCAGGTAGCCACCGATAGTTGCAGAATGGGTGCAGAGGACCTTGACTCTGACCAGCAGGGAAATTTAGGACAAATGAGTGCAGATACTGCCAATTTCTACCAGTTCAACTGTGCTTTAAGACTCATTGCAAAGCCTCAGCTAGAAAAAGGATGACCTCCGGGTATCCAACAAAATAGAGAGTTTTAAATTTTTTTTTTTTTTTTTTTTTTTAAACCTTAAGACTCTGGAGTTCAGCTGTCAATCATTTCTGAAAGTTCCAGGAGGAGATCGTCCTCATCCTTCCCTGGGTCCAGGTCAATTTCTGCTTCCAGTTTGCCTCCTGAGATTTCCCAAATAAGCTTCTCAAAGTCATCTTCTACAGATAAGGGTGCTTTCCCAGCCCCTGTGGAGCTCAGCCGGCGTGTCTTTACTGCTACTTGTGAAGAAGTTGCAGTTGAACTTGAGACCTCTGACTGTGCCACAGAGTCTGCCTGGCTTCCAATATGCACGTCAGGACTTGGAAGAACAAGACAGACAGCAAATCAGTCTATGACATTCCTTAACCAGAGAGATGTTTTCTGCCAACCAGCTCTTAAAACTGTAGTTACTCCCTCCCACACCTCAACCTTACACCGGAATTGTTATTCAATTAACCTGGGGCTGCTTTTAGAGCCAATGTATCAACAGGTATACTTTTCAGTTCGGGGATCTCTCTGTGAAGACTGAACATCTAGGGTCTGGCAAAGAAGGTTCCATTTTTGCAGCCAGAGACACTTGGCCATCTTTACTAATTTGACTGTAAAAAGGTTAAGAAGTCAACCTCCACAGGCATTCAGAAAACCCAAGAGGTCACTGAAAAGCTGTACCAACTTGCAGCACTTTAAGAAAAGAATCTAAATAAAAATTCCTGCTAGCTGCTAGAGAATTATTTCAGATTAATTGCTCCTTTGTTGGATTTTGGCATTAATTATCTCAAAATTCCCAATCTTTCCACATGTGAAAAAAAAAAAATAATTATGTTTCACATGAAAGACAAGCTGACTGAGAAAAAGTACAAGTTGTGGTTGTTACCTGGTTTTGGGTTTTTCTCTCCCTGGTATGGAGACCAGGCTATCCTCTGGCAAAGCAGGAACAACGGCCTAGGAAGAAGGAAGGCAGTTTTTATGATACACAGGTAAAAGACTTTAGTAGATTCTTCCTCCACTGCTTCTCCTCTGGCTGAGCCTTAACCAAAATACAGAACCAGAGCACTCCTGAGGAAAAGTCAGTATTCGCTTCAAGTTTACTAATGACCGTGCGTGTTTTTTAAGAACGCAGCATTAATGGACAAAATCCTTCACGCCACATAGAAACCATAGCAGAGTATCATGTTAACGCTGCCATCCATCTAATAAAAAGCAGAAAGCTACTACAGCCAGTAGTAGACCATTTCTGGATTTAAAAGGGAACAGAGACCTGTAGAAGATTTCAGTTTTCCATCTTTTCTCCAAGAGGAAGGTAGAACTTGGTCATCAATTTTACTAGAAACCCGCCACTGCCTCAGCCACTGCCCTTACCACAGCTGCTTTTTTAGCCAAAGGCTCCTTTGTATCACCACCAGTGGTACTCAACGGTTTCACAGCCGCCACAGCAGAAGGATGACTCTCAGCTGCCTTACGTTTCAGCGTCTGCTTTGTGGCTTCCCCATCCAAAGGCTTCAGGCACACCTTTGATTTGGCTAGAGTAAAGAGAAGAGAGAACCGATACAGTCTTGCTCTGCCTCAGGAAAAAAAACCCAGGTCCTCCTACCAGTCCCATAATCCTTCTAAACATACTTGACCAGCATTATTTCACTGCCATTTCCCAGATTCTCAGCAGTATTTTCCACATAGTAAAAACTCTGTTTACCAACAAGCCACAAAAAAGGAGCCAAAAAGTTACAAAAAGGAGTCAGAGTTGCAATGTGAAAACTGTCATCTCCTGGCCTTTCTTTCAAAACATTAACTCTGTAACATACAGCCAACACTTACTTTTAGCTTTCCGTTCCACAAGTTGAGCTGCCTGTTTCCCTGGTGATACAGCAGCATCCTTTCCTGCGCTTTCAACCCCATCTTCCGGAGATTTCACCAATATCCTCTTTGCAAGTTGATAAGCTGACCCTGAAACCACGGTGGATTCAGGACTCCCTGATGTTGGAGTTTTATCCTTGATTGCTTTTTCAACAGGAGATGGCACAGCAGCTCCTTCTTTCTGAAGCTTCTCTTCTTGGCGTTGTCTCAGTTGCCGCTTCTCCCTCATTATCTCTTCAAGGCTCTTCACTTGAACTTTAGAATTAGTTGCACTCTGATCAGAGGGCTAGAAAGAACAAAAGAATAGCGCTAGTAGGACAAAAATCTATGGAGATTTTATTAAGAAAATCTGAGCGGTAATCTCTCCAAAATGGCTCCGTGTGGAACACAGCATCTTAATACCACTCAGATTTGACATTTCTTCCATAAAATGTTGCCCATAACAAGATCCGTGCTTTGCTATGGAAATACTACTTCAAAAGCCTGCAATTCCCAACACAGCAAGCTTCTTAAATAGAGCAGAAGACTCTAGCTGTAATCTATTACATTCTTTTTAAGCAACAGAAAGTCATTCAAGCTCCCCGATTCAGCATTCACTGACAGACTGATTTCATCTAATGCAAAGCTCTAGCCTCTTCTGTTAAAATACTTACCTCAGGATTTTAAGATATCCTTCAAGTCTGACAGATAAAGTCACTGAGAACAAAAGCATTCCCTCCACATTAACCTCGCAGATTTTATCGGGTGCTAATAGGGTTTCTTATTGATTGTCAGGTACAATCAGGTTAATTCAAAGCTTGAGGATTACAATGTTGTCTGGAAATGCTATCGAAAGTGACAGGACTTACGATTTCACTGCAGTGCTTACCAAGTGTGGGAAGGTAGGAACACACTCAAACTGGGAGCATGCAGCCAGCCGCAAACAAAAACACAACAAAATTTATCAAAAATTGTATGAATGTATCTATGTCCTCAGAAAGGACTCACCTCTGCAGGTGCAGACACAGCTTTGGGAGAAGGCTTGCTCAATTCCACTACCTTCTTTTCTTCTCTTCCAGGTGCTTTAAAACAAGAAAAAAATAAATTAAGAAAATCAGTTTGTCAACAGAAGAAATAAAGAAACCTGGTTACCTCTGTGTCCTTGGTGTGTTTATCTCCTCATGTCTAATAACGGGACAGAGGGAGAGGCTACCGGAAACGATCCACAGAGCATTTGAGCTCTTTCTCTCAATCACACTATCTACTTTTACATGGCCTATATAATCTTAATGATGAGATCTTTAATGCTCTGTCATTTTAGACAAAAACTGGCCCTTACATTAAGAAGCCGATATATGCTTCACAAACACATATACATCAATAACTAAGTTAAACAACAGATATGCCAAAGGGGAAAGTAAACTTGGATTCAGCACAGAGAAGATCCCATAACACAAACAGATGGCAGAGAAAACAGCAGAGAGAAATTAGACTACAAAGCTGCGCAATGAATGAATTTTCCGGTGGGAAATACAGGAAACTGTCATGTAATTCATGGAAAATAACATGGTTGCATATTCTGGCACTTTCTCACCCGATGACTTTGTAGCCTGAAACTCTTTTATCCACTAGTACACATAGAAGGAAAAAGCAAAGTGAATCCTGAGCAAACTGAATTTGCTTGACAGGGGAAGCACTTCACCAGGACAGGTACCAAATCATCTTCTTACCTATCAGCTTTGTGATCCGTAACAATCTCCTCCCCGTTGGGGCAGGTTCAGGCTGCGCTGGTGGAGCTGGCACATTTTCTCCACTCTGTTGCATCCGCAGAGCTTTCTCCTGCTTGATTTCTTCCAAGGTTTTAATACGCACTTCGCCTGCTGGCTTGGCTTTACCTGCTGGCTCTGCCAGCTGCACTTTGCTGGGTGCAGATGGAGCAAGTATGCTCTGCTTCTTGGGCTCACTTTCAACTTTTGTCTTGGTAGGAAACTCATCTGTTTTTTGCTTCTCTTCTTCCAATCGCTTGTGTTTTTTTTCAGCCAGGGCTCCTGAGAAAGTTTTGATGCGAACTGCAGAGGAAGGTCTTGCCCCCAAGCTAGGATCTTCTGTTTTACAACGTCCTTCAGCCTGGGGTTTTGCTTGAGGTTCTCCTCGTCTCTGATTAGCTCTCTCAAGACGAATTTCCTCCAGTGTTTTCACATGGATCTCTCCTGCTGGCTTAGCAGCCTTCTCTGTCATCAGCAAAAGAAGAGCATCATCAACATTTAAAGAGAGTCCAACAATATTTAGTCTCCAAAATCTGTCGCAGTACTAAGGAAAACTAGGTTTGAGTATTCCCAAGAACACATCTTAGGACAGCATCATTCTGCCTAATATTCTCCTCCTCCTTTAAGCCACTTGCATTTTGCAAACCAGTGCTATGCAGAGAGAGCTGCGACAAAAACCACAAGTCTATTTTATTTCGTTACTTTCTTGGACTGTGTCTCTCTGTTAGCATCTCAAATTCCTGCTCCTGGCAGTGGTTCTGTTCTACTCGTGCGTAAGCATACTGCAGCTTCTGACGGTTCACGACGGGAGCATGAAACTGTGACAATGGCCATCAGGACAGCTTCAGCACTCCAGCAAGAGGAATCAGGCGTTTTTTCAAATTAACTTTTAGAGGTGTACGGAAGTTGATGGAAAACAAAAAAGGGAAGGCATATTTAATATCCCATTATTACCTGTCTCTGTACTGGTCTGTTCAGAGGGCAATCCTAACCTCTCCTTCAGAGACTTGGGGACTTGAACTACAATACAGAACAGAAAAAAGTTAGGGAGGCTGCATAAATCTCATTTTTGTGTTCACATTTCGAAAGGAGACAGGAGATCACTTCACTGGGATTCAAAGTTACCTTGAGCCCTCAACCAACATGCAGAAAGAATCCTTAGAAGAAAGGACAAACAGAAAACCTAAATAGAAAATCTGTGCATCAAATCCAGATATCTGTTTAGTAGCTGTACCTCTCTTTGGTGCTTTGTCAGCATTCTCCAGAATCTCTATTTTCTTCCCCAGTCTTTCAGCAAGGTCGCGCTTTAGTGGAATGACACTTTTACCAGCTTCAGAAAGAGAGAAAACATGAAATACTTCAAGCACATTTCTCTGGAGGAGGATTTTAGAACAGTCAAACACAAACTTCAATTCTTCCAGGTTTATTTTCTTCTATTTGCCTTTCAGTTGCTAACAAAATGTGCCATTTCTGCAGTCAATACAGATCTATGCCAAAATGTATTTTCCTCCCACATACAGCAAAAATACCCTTGAACAGTCATGTTTAGATGAGGGCACGCGAACAGCAGCTCACAAAAAGCTCTTACCTGTGGAGGTTTTCCGTTTTCCCAGTCTCTCGGCAAGATTCAGTTGAATCACAGGCTCCTCCCCTAAACCAAAGAATAATCTCTTCAGTAGCCAGTAAAAGCATTGTCCTTCTAGCCCATGCCCCAAAACCAGACACTCTTTTGGTAGCCAAACCATGTAAACCAACGACTACAAGTAGAAGTAGTTCTACGCTTCTTTTGCCTTTAAAAGGAATTTGTGCCAATCTAAACATCACCATTTATACGCAAACTCCTAGCACACTACTGTCTGCAACTGCCACTGTTAGCCTCTTCAACACTTCAAAAATTGGCTACTTGTATAATATCACCTTGTATAGGTCTTCCCCTTAATTTCCCCTTTTTTCAGTTATCCCCTTATCTCCATACTGACACTTGTTTTGACATTAGCCTCTCTCTCTGCTGCTACTGCACATAACCCGAGCACTAGTTCTGTCACATGCTGTCAACACATTAGCTCATTCACAAATCTCACTCAACTTGAGGAACATGGAAGTCAAATGAAGAACATTTGAGAGTCTGTAGGATGGTGATAATATATGATTAGCTATGGCTTAATGTCTGGCTGATAAAAAACCCCTTGTTGTATTGCAATAAAAGATCAAGAAACTGAGCACCTACAGATGCCAAATCTTTCCAATACAATCAGGGACTTGCAGCAAAAAACATGCCTCTTCTAATTAAAACCAGTACCAGCAGATTAACATATCTGAGTTATCTTAACTATTACTTAACCTTTTGGCTTAGGAGCCATGAAATGGAAACAACAGTATTCACTATTACCTTGCTTTGTAGACAGAGTCACAGTTCTCACTACTGTCCGTACATTTTCCTTTTCTGGTACAGGAATAGTCCGAGATTGGAGTGGATGAACAGAAACTCCTGAAGGACCTTCTGATCAGAGCAAGCAAAACATAAGGATGTTTAGAGAAAAAACCTAACTAAACAAACCAGGAAAACTATAACAAAGACCAAAAACATTAGTTACTCATTATTGTCAAACACACAATGACCAGTGCATGTAAATAAGAAAGAAGAGCAATTTCCCTCTGATTTGCCATTAGAATTCAAATCTAGAACGCGGCTGTTTAAGAAAACAGATTGCATGCCAAACTTGCTCAAGGCCCCCAGCTAAACATGGAAGTCTGTCCCTCAAGCAGTTCTCAGCTGCAATCATCTCCCAGTCTGAACCCAACAGTGGGGGGGAAAAAAAAAAAAGTCTGTTCTTTTGCAAATAATTGTATTCACCAATGCACAGCAAGCTATCCAGGTATTATCAGAAGAAGAAGAAGAAAAAAAAAAAGAGATGAAGGTGAACAGAAGGCAGAAGGATAGGAAAGTAGGGGACATTAACTCACCACCTTGTTTTTTTGTTTTTTCCTTTAGTTTCTTCAATTTGATTTCTTCAAGTGTTTTTATTCCAAAATTTAAATTGTCATCTGAAAACACGAAATGGTTAATGAAACTGAGGGTTAGAGGCACATGTTGAAGATCCTCAAGCTTCTTACAGCTCAGAACCTTTCAAAAGTATTTTGAATAAACCCTGTCAACACTCCCCGCAATAAAAAAAAAGCCATTGAACAGATGGTATTTTGGTAAGCAATTGGCACCTTTCTTCACCCCTCCTCCTACCCTTCAGGGTAAAACCTATAGATTTAAGCATTTTAATCCATCTACATGGTATCATTAGACATGGCTTTGCACAATGCCTGCACATTTGCAGGCATTTAAACTCCACTCTGTGGCTCTATTTTGCTCTACAAAAGTAACCAAGGTGGAGTTTACCTGTCTGACTCAAGGGACACATGACATTATTAGACAGGAATGAGCTCATGGAAATAACTGACTCCATCCATCTACCCTATGCTCTATCGTAGTTTTAGAACATATTGCTTTTAAGTTAATTGTCAAATTCTCCTTCCAATCCATCCTACTACAGCTGTTAGAATACCTTGTTTTGTATTAGCATTGGATTTCCTAGTGGAAATCATCCGCAATCCATTATGGGCTTCTGTAGTTGGTTGCTGGACAGGTGCTTTAGTTTCATCTCCTTCTTCAGAAAGTTGGTCTGAAAGGCAAAAATAAACCTATTCATTTATGCAGTAGGGAGCAGACAAGATTTTTCATCTTTATGTAGCTCATACAACGACATTCCAGTCTACGTTTCATATTCTGTTTGTATTCTTAACTACAATGCTTATAGAAGGAGTTTTTAAAACCACTACATTGACTTGATGAACTCTTAAGTATTCTGTGATTTATACTGTCACTTACAGTAGAAATGCCTTCAACAAGTAAAAAATGCTCACCATCGTCGTCTTCATCATCATCTGCAGCATTGATTACAACCGGAGGATGTGTAGGACTTGGGACGTTTTCAGAATTTTCCACTTTCATCACCCCCCTCAGCTGTGGAGAGGGATTTGACTGGACAGAAAGTTTGTTTTGCTGCAGTGACATCTGAGCCATTTTCACATCGTCTTCTGCAGACTCAGGTGGACTTGGAAGCGTAGCTAGAGGAAGAGGAGGATCATCTGTAATTTGGCCATTTAAAATGAGGACGCCAATGTTGCCCTCAATGCGTAGATATAGTAGATAAGGAGGTAACCCACCCGGGCTACTGAATTTAGAGTCTCCTATTCCCCACCCCTGGTTACACTACAAACAATGGCTTTCCCTTCACACACAAATCTCACCGTCCTACCACCCCAAAAGGATTAAATGAGGGGAAAGCAACCTGAAAAGCAACAATCACACAAAGCACAGAGAAGCTAAGCCATGAAAGAAAAAATTAAATACCAGAATTACATTCCGTTTAGCTGAGAGCCTATGACTGCAGACTTCTTCCTGCCCTCATAAATGAGCAGTTACTTGATGTCTTCTATGGTATTGTACCCACTCATAAGTAATATTCAAAATAATTCTTTAATACTAAAGAAAAAGGACTTAAACTCACTTTTGCTTGGCGGTAAGAAAAGCCCATCAACATAACGTCCTTTTGTGTGATGAAAAGCACAGTTGGATTTTTGACAACCTACTGGCTGATTCTCCCAGTAGCAAGGAATCTCACTGCGTTTTTTCTGAAGACAGAAAAAAATAAAAGCTCATGGTAACACTCTCTTTAGATTTGCAAAGAGACATAGTTTCACATCGTGCCAGAGACATGACTATTGCAGTGCAGTGCTGAAACATCATTCCAAAGGTCAATTTATCACTAAAAGTATTTCAGGGCATATACACAAAGTTTGCACAAGCTGTAACAACCACATATAATCTAGCTTTCCTATCATTTGATTTGATAAAACAGGCACTCACACACATCAGTTCAGGGTGGGTTAAACTAATACAAGGTGCAAAATACTGGGATTAATTCAGAGGGAAAACCGTCTTCAGTTGGCTAGGTTAAATCCATCTGAATCTATCTTTCAGAGCCTTAGTTCCTTCCCACCTTTTCTCTCCCCACCCTGTACTACCCCAATAGGTAAGAACAATGTTATCTGAAGAAATCCAGGACAGAAAAGACCCGACAGGCCATTACCAAGCCTAGCTCTCTGGAGGGTAGAGCAGGCTGTTTACTGCCACCCTGCTCCAGTACATTTATGTAGTCTCATCAATGTGGTTGCTTTTGCCTCTATTAAAAAAAATAATGTCAGCACCTAATACAAAAATTTCTTGCTGAGATATACTTAAGGAATTGATTTTTCTTCCCACAAATTCCTCCCATCCTCCACCTAGTAATAGAAACCTGTATTATTTTAAAGCAAGTAAATCTATCATATAAAAGCACGTTCAGCCCACCTATAGGAATGAAAAATGCTTTCAGTGATTTAGGTTGAGAACACATCTTTAGGCAAACACTCACATCGATTTCCATGTGTCTGAATCTGCAGATATTCCTGAAACAGCGACCCTCCTGCCAGAGCGTGCAGACTGTTTCATTCCCCAGAGCAGCTTCACAGTGGCGGAAGGAACAGCTGTCTCCCTGTAACCAAAAGGAAATCAACAAAAAGGAAGATAAATTGTACAGCCTAAAAAAATACGTCCATGCTATTGGAACTGGAAGCAGAATCTAATTGCTTATTAAGTTAACAGAAATCTGTATGGCTCCTCCCACTTTCCCCCTCCTCTTAAAAACAAAAAAGGAAAAAGAACAAACCCCAAAGCAAAGAACCCCAAACATACCTTGTTACAAGTGGAATAGAAATAGAAGTAGCAGTCATCTCCTTGGTTAGACATAATGGACAAATTCCTCGAACAGGTGCTAAGGGTTCACTCAACAGGGACTTCCTCCAGTCTTGGCAAGAGCTGGCTTCACTCTTTCTTGAACTGAAAGTCTTCTACTGGCTTGATCAGTGAAATCTTCTTTTTAAAAGTAACCCTATCAATAAGTGAAAAATAATTAAGTAATAAGCATTTTTACAGCTGCTTTCTGTTAATCAAATTAGTCTCAAGGGGGGCAATGTCTTGAAATCAGCTGGTTCACAAAAACTATCCAAACACTAAGTCAAACTTCTGTAAAACTGCATGGGTTTTGTTAGCAAGTGTTCTCTTCTGTGTCCTTAGCAATAGTTATATGCCTTGGAGCACAGAAAAAACTACTGCGTGTGGCTGTAAGCCCAATGAGAAAGCCACTTCTTAAAAAAAACTGGTCATCCATTTGAGTTATCAATCAGTGATTAACTGTGGGTACTAACAATTTCTATAACATACAATTGACATGTTAAACATTATTTTCCAATCACCATGGATCTTCAAGTTCACATACCTGGACAACTTCAGCAAACATATTGATCTTCAAAGACTTCCAGTTAACTTCTCCTGTAGGCCGAACCAACACTGAATCCGTGAATTAATAATAAAGGGGTAGAAAGAATTTTCCTCCTCACATTGCCAAGGGAACCTCTCATCCACAATTCAAACACATGATGTGCTTTTAAACATCTTACAACTAATGGAGGAAGCAAGTCCATTTGAATACTGTCAGACTGGAGACAGCCAGGGTTAGTTAGCTCTTCAAAAAAAAAAAAAAAACCAAAAAAAACCAACAAAAAAACCCAGTGCATTTAAAGATGAACTTGGGATTCAAAGTGGCTGCAAAAATGAGGATCCATCTTCCACAGCCGGATAATTTTTATTTTTATTTTTTTTTAATTTAAAATTCAGTAAGTTGCTGGTCTTCAAGATTTCTTCACCTATTAAGAAAACACAAAAACCTTCCCCCATCTTTATTACCTGTACAGCAAAAACATACTTGCGTGTATAAATACACAAATATGTATATACATACACATATGTGTTTATACACACACCAAGAGTGCGTGATAATAAAGTCAGCAAGAGTGATAGCAAAAATTAGAATTTTTGGCTATTTGCCACATAAGACTGCATAAAAAGTCTCTATTTTTGAGGGAACTGGCAAAAAAAAATAATCAAAGATCTACATAATATTTTGATGAATATGCCTTCAAGGCTGATGCTTCATAACATGAGTGATTTTGGGGCCAGCACACAAATATGCATACATATGTACATGCATACAGTATAACATATCTATACACACAAGCGTGCACAGTATATGTTGTATGAGATCTGTACCAAGAACAACTTTTAGCCCTGATCAGACATGGAGAGTTGCAATCAATTAACAGCAGGAAGACAGCAGATCAAGGATACAGCAAGCTTTGAGGCAGGGAAATGCTCACTTTGCAAGTGGCATGGCTGCATGATACCAAGAATTTTGAATTATTTTGATTTTTGGAAATAATTTGGTTTCTTTTTACGTCAGAGCAAATACTACAAGTTTGCCATCACATGCTGTTCCCTAATCCATATATCCATCATTATCCATTGCTGCAAGATCACAGAAGGTTTGAGAAGATGGCTTAAGTCCAATTCAACAGCAGATGATTTTTTGGTGCCACTGGAGCTGAAACATTTTATTTATCTACAAGCAGTTTGGTTTTTTGGGTTTTTTTAAAATGTGAAGTCACATACTTTGATTCTTATTTTTTTTTCCAAATGCCATAAAACCTGCAACCAGACCAGATAAAGTTCAAATTAAAGTGATTCTGACCCCTTTCATTAAAGTGCTGCACATTTCTGTGCAAAGTTTTTCTGACTCTTTTGGACAAAACCAAATGAAATAGTTCTTACAAATCAATAATAAAAGGTTGGAACCTTTTACTCACACAAACACTAGTGAATTTTCCAGGGTATTTTTTTTTGGCAGGGAATTTTCCCAAATCTAAAATAAAGAGAGGAAAAGTTGGGTTCTCATATTAGTTATTGGGTTTTGATTGCTTGACAACGGGAATAAAAACAGTAGTTAAGTGCAAGGTTTTCTTCCCTTCTTCTGTATCGATGTGACCATTCACTTTTGAGCTTTAGCACCTTCAAAACCAGAATTTTTGTCATACAGATTCCTACGCATCTACTTCTAAAAATTAGTGGTGCTCCTTCACGTAGAAGTTTGACAATAAACATTTTTCCAAATGTGTTACCAATACCATTGATAGTTAAAATGAATTTCAAGCACGGATTTCTTCAGTTTGCACAATCCAATACTTAAATAGATGGCAATTAAGGACCACTGCTTTGCTGAGCAGAGGCATTCAAATACAAATCAGAAGGAATTAATGGTCTAGAAGGTGGCATTTCTTTTTCCTAGGGAGTGAGAGACATCTGTGTAATGCAACACTACTATATCCACCACCATGGGGGGAAAAAAGTCCCCTCAGATTTAGCTCTTTTGAACGCACAAGCAGCTCAGTAGTTTGCTTGCTGCCTTCCATATTCCTGAGCAGACTTCAAGAGCTGTTCAGAATTTGAATGGATCTTGTTTAAGGAATAGGAAAAAAAGTAAAACTTTAAAACAAAACAAAGCAAAACAAACGAAAACCCAAAACCCCTCATAGTTCTAAACTCCATGAAAGTCCTTTTGTTTTAAAAAAAGGTTAACTCAAGAACTTTTTTTTTTTAAACTGGTATCAGTTAACATGGCAATCTGAGTGCTAAACAGAAATCAGCTGAACTAACCCCTGAAAGTCTGAATAAAAATGAGTAACTCTGGTGCACTCAGCAGGTCTCTAATAGACGTTGATAAGAATTTTAAACACTTCTTTTTTTCTCCAGAACTTTAGTCAAGTTTTTGTATTAAGAGATTTTGAATTGATTTTGTGGGGAAAAAAACAAACCAAGACGATTACAAATGCAGTAGCAAGGGGTCAGGAAAAACATGCCAACAAGTGCCATAAACTTTACCTTTGCTTAGGGAAGATAAATAGTACAATGACAGTCTGTCTAGTTTGTTTTACAAGCTTGTTTTTCTGAAGCTTCTTGCACTGAAGAAACAGCCCTATTCCCTGCTCTAACGTTCCAGCTTCCTGACCCGCCTTTGTCCTGTACTGAAGAGCAAGAACGGAAGAAAATTGTGTTTGCATCTCAACAAATGCATGAGAGAAATATTATTGCACCTACCTATGGGTCCTTTTTGGTTATAAGGCATAAAGTATTTCACTTAGTCTCTTTTGCTGGTCTACTTTGTGCCTTTAATTTCTTAATATTAAAGATGCTTAACACCCCTGCTTATTAGGACAGTAAGATGACAAGGAAGGAAGAGCACCAGGCACTCCACGTTCTAACACCCCCTTTCAATCAGTCAGCGTTACCCTAACTGCAAAGCTGAAGGCTGAAAGCACAGCGTGCACTAGGTGTCAGAAATTACATATAGAACAGTGCATTATGCGAACCACACATCCTCGTGTCGTCTGAAGCACAGAAGTACCTCTTGCTAACATATCTCATTCTCTGTATGAAAATCTAAAGCTAAGCTGTCCAAAGTTGAAGCAGAATAGTTGTATTTTCTACTCTTTATGTTTCTTTTAGTCAATTTGAGCTGTTAAATACTGTCTAAACATAGACCGGGAGCATGTCCTAAGACTGGGGGTTACAGCACTCAAGACCTTCTCAAAGACTGCAAGGTTGCCAGCCAAGAAGGCAAAAGTTAAAGCAGATGATCGTCTCAGCTTCCTCCACCAGTGAGTTGGGGTCACCTTTCATTGTGATCTAAGAGAGTCAGAGCCATGAGTTACCACAACCACCACAGCTGTCCCTTGCTGGCTGGAGCAACTTTTTGAAGACGTGCCACTTCAAGGACCTGAATTAGGACATTCTTCTTTAAAATGAGAGGCAGATCAATCTGTTCCTGAAAGGGCTGATTGGCCTGGTATTTCTGTAACTGTCAAAGAATAACCTCGTACTGAAGCACTCATCAAATCAGACACTGCTTCAGTACAGATTTCTCTTTAGCTTGACACATCAAGACTCAGGAGAAGGAATTCTTCAAAGCAACCTTTACAGCAGGGATCTAGTAAAGCGGCCAAGACAAAAGAGTTCAGATCCGAGTGCATCACCCTGTAGAAAATCAGTTTCAAGCCTAAGATATTTCACACATCTCACAGTTCAACAGTGACAGCGACACCTTTGATTTGAAAGTCTCCACGTGCTCTGCAAAGCCAGAAGGACATGACCGATGGCAGCACTTGACTTCAAGAACTGCAGTCACCTCCACCTCCAGGCCAAGAATCTTGCACCCACTGGACATCTGGGACCACTGGAATGAGCCGAGAATAGCCCCATTGTCCCTCCTCTGCTCCACCTTCTGCTGTTTCAAAGTCACTTTAACATATGAAAGGTAGTGAGAGGTTCACTGAGCAGCTATTTCCTGCTACAAGTGATCCTGTGGAAGATGGTTTGAATGCTGGAGCTCCTGAAGAATTTGACAGACCTTAGCAGAATGAGTAAGTATATCTCTTAAGCACCTGCTAACCTGTTCTCAGTGCTCCTATGGTCACAGAGTAAGTCCTGAATTATTAATTTTAAAATAGAAGTAAAACATGGCAGCTGGCACCTAGCACTGCACACACAGCACTGGCAGTGTTGTCGGAAGCTGGAAAGCCAGGGTGCGGGGATTAAGGGAAAGCCACACATCAATTTGGTAACTCGGTTCTTGTAGGACACCTCCTGCTGCAGAAGTCTTACCAAAGCCAGTGGGAGGGAGCTGCCCGTTTTCTAAGAGGACTTCTGCTGATGCAGTCTATCGAAAGATATCCAGTGGACCATCTCTGTCAGGTAGTCCGTGGTTGGTTCAGGGTCCACACATCAACAGTTAGATCCATATTTTTTGCGTTGTGCTTTCTCCAAAAGCCACGAAGAATGCTTCTTCTACAATGCTGTAC